ATTACAGGTGTGAGTCACCACACCTGGCCCATACACGTTTTTATTAACCACAGTTAAATGCATTTAGAAATCCATAGTACTGATTAAAGGTAGCAACCACCTTACCCCCAATACCCAAGCTGCACTTAACATAGCTCTCAGCACAAACCACCACCTTCAGGGGGTTGTGCCTCGTGCTGGGGACAGTCAGTGACATAGAAGCCATGCTCCCGTATCGCCCGGTAGAGTGTGATGAACTTGGACGCCAGCCTTGTCCGCGGGACTACGTACTTCTCCGTAAATTCACTCTTGTCCAGTTGCTGTCTACCTTCTGCCATCAGAACGCAGTTAATGAACGTGAGTGTGTAAGTGTAGCAGTTGTGGTGGTCTTCTTCATACCTTATGGAAGAGAACAAGGGTGTTGAGAAGAAAAGGCTGCTCAGGAACAGGCCGTGAAGCTACCCATCAGGTGCCTCAGCAAGCAAGGCCTCTGCTGGTTCATGTGGTTAAGAAGCTTCAAGATGTGCACTTCAGGCCAGGTGCAGTGGCTCACACCTGTAATCCCAGCACTTTGGGAGGCCAAAGTGGGAGGATCACTTGAGGTCAGGAATTCGAAACTGGCCTGGCCAGCAAGGTGAAACCCTGTCTCTACAAAAAATACAAAAGTTAGCTGGGCATGGTGGTGCACGACTGTGGTCCTAGCTAGTTAGGAGACTGAGGCAGGAGAATTGTTTGAACCCAGGAGGCAGAGGTTGCAGTAAGCCAAGATCGTACCACTGTACTCCAGCCTGGGTGCATAGGAGGTTTAGCAATAGGGTATATAAGCCTGTCCCAAGCTTCAATTATAATGTTTCACCTACAAGCTCCTTCCCATTCTATTCTTTTCATGTTCACTTCAGACCCTAACTACAAAGCCTGGCAGAACCTTCATTTGATGCTAATCAGAATCATGAAGCCCAGATTGTTTTGGGCTTCATGTAATTCTGGGGGATGGTTGGTCTCTGGGCATCTGCTTGCTGCAGATTGGCATAGATTCACCCAGATGTTCAGAGTGGTTACTCAGTTGCAAGTTAACTACCAATTTGGGGAACTCATTGAACTTCTAGATTTCAGAGATGGAATTCCATATGAGTTTTATGATATTCCATAGTATCCAAACTTATTTCAAGGGAAACCTCAAAATAAATCCACAAATATGCTATACATCTTATAAAATGTTGAGAGTGAGAAATTAACTTGAAATTGCTAAAATTACAAAAAAGAAGCTTTTACATTTTGAACATTGTTTTTTGGGTTTTTTTGTTCTGTTTTGTTTTTCTTTTTTTGAGACGGAGTCTCACTCTGTTGCCCAGGCTGGAGTGCAATGGCATGATTTCAGCTCACTGCAACCTCCGCCTCCTGGGTTCAAGTGATTCTCCTGCCCAAGCCTCCCAAGTAGGGACTGCAGACGTCCGCCACCACGCCTGGCTAATTTTTGTATTTTTAATAGAGACGGGGTTTTACCATGTTGTCCAGGCTGGTCTCGAAATTCTGACCTCAGGTGATCCACCTGCCTCAGTCTCCCAAAGTGCTAGGAATACAGGTGACAGCCACCGTACCCAGCCTGAATATTGTTTTTTTAAATTTTTGTTTTAAAGAAATATATCGTGACTTGCTATATATGTGTAAAAATACCTTGTCACACAACTGAAATAACAATACAGATTCTAGTCCTTTCAGCTCTTAAAACGCTGTAATTTTGTTATATGTGTGTGCTGACCCAACTGCAGAAAATCTAGAGTAGTTCAACCCCTGTTTAAATTCTGTTAGCGATGTTAATATCTGTGTATCGGCTCAACGTGAAGCTAAATGCTGCGGAGTCCTCTGTGAGCTGAGGCCACACGGGGATTCCACTTGCATAGCATGTGAGTGCCAGCAAGGGTGCAGCATTTGCAGTTGTGTACCTGTGAGGCAGCCAGGTCCCCGAGGTGGAGAAGTCTTCCAGGTACTTGTCCCATTGCTCCATCATTCCATACATGTGGGGCTGCAGTAATGGGATGCTTATGCTCTGTTCCCACCCTGCTCCATCTCGCTGGACACCATGTGCACTGTAGTTATACACAACCCCTGCAAATCAAAACCAAAGTCATGTGGCGCCTCAAGGAGACACACACCTCTGTGAAAAAAGGACATCAGAAAATGACAGTAGCCGTGTGGTAACTTTACATAATATAAATCCAGGGTGGAGGTTCTAGAATCTTTCTTCCGCCTAATGAGATTTAGATTTGCCTAGAGTCAGGGAGGGGTTTATGTAGCCTTCCCTGTTACTAGCAATCATTTCCTTGAGAGAAACCCAGTTCTAGCTCTACCTGCTGTTCAGGGCTGTGAAGTTGCCCCCAGGAAACAGAGACAATAATAGGTACCAGGATCATCATCTCCAATATTTTTATTGAAGTTCTGTATTTACCAATGGGTCAATCTTGTCTCCTTAAATCAAGAATAAATGTCCACCTGCTAAAGATGAGTGGTAAGTATGACTGTTCTTGTGGGTAACTAAGTTCAGAACCGTTCTGGATTTCTAATCAGTGTCACTTTCTCTTGCCTCAGTGGGTAAGGAAAGGCTGTTATTAGACTTCAGCTGTGAGGCCTGGCTAGGTGCCTCACCTGCCTCACCATATCCAGGCTACATATCCTGCAGGTGGCTCCATCCAGGCCCTTTTCCTGCAGACAAGAAAGCTTCTGGCTGAAGGGTTGCACACACTGCCCTCAGAGCTATAGGTGGCCAAAGGAACAGTTTTATTTAATCTTCACTTTCCTTTAAAAAAAAAAACAAAAAACAAACTGCAGGCCCCACCATATCCTGCTTTACTCCTGAAGTCCCTAGAATGTGGGGACCCAGTGGTAGTCAGCTGAGCATAGGATTGGAAGTCAGAGGGCCTGGTTCCAAATTCTGGTTTGGACACAAGATACGAGGTCTTGGGCAAGTCAATCTCACTGGACATCTATTTCTTCTTATTTTAAAAATCAATAAAAAATACACAGGTTTGTATGACTCTTCACTGAGAAAACATTAAAGAACTTTCAAATATTTCATATTGTTAGTAATAATTTGCCATAAAGTCAAATATTTCTCATTTGGGGGCAATGCCCACCTCATGGTGCAGTAGAAGAACCCAGTGAACAATGGAATCACTCATTAGATGTTGCCATAATCAAATCTCCACAAATACTGCTTTCCTTTTACTGGGTAGTGGGGGTTTTTTAAGCCACAAAACTGCACTTACCATTTGTGTTAGTTATTCCAACATGAAGATCAGACCTTCCATCATACTCCCTGAAAGAAACAAGGTTGTTTTTTTTTTCTGGTTTGCATGTGTTTGGCATGAAGAACTGGCATTTAAAGTAGGAGGAGCCCAAGCACAGTGGCTCAAACCTGTAATTCCAGCACTGGGAGGCCAAGGTGGGCGGATCACTTGAAGCCAGGAGTTTGAGACCAGCCTGGCCAACATGGCGAGACCCCATCTCTACTGAAAATACAAAAATTAGCCGGGCATGTCAGTGTGCTCCTGTGTCCCAGGTACTCAGGAGGCTGAGGCACAAGAATCGCTTGAACCCGGGAGGTGGAGATTGCAGTGAGCCAAGATCGCACCACTGCACTCCACCCTGGGCGACAGAGCGAGACTCTAAGAAAATAAATAGAGCCAGCTGGGTGCAATGGCTCACGCCTGTAATCCCAGCACTTTGGAAGGCTGAGATGGGAGGATCTCTTGAGGCCAGGAGTTCAAGACCAGCCTAGCCAACATGTGAAAACCTGTTTCTACTAAACATACAAAACTTAGCTGGGCCTGGTGGCACGTGCCTGTAATCCCAGCTACTTGGGAGGCTGAGGCATGAGAATTGCTTGAACTCGTGAGGCGGAGGTTGCAGTAAGCGGAGATTGTGCCACTGCACTCCAGCCTGGGTGACAGAGTAAGACTGTCTCAAAAACAAAAATACAAGTAGGGGGAGAGGCATGGTGACTCTTGCCTGTAGTCCCAGCTACATGGGAGGCTGAGTTGGGAGGATCACTTGAGCCCAGGAATTCAAGGCCTCAGTGAGCTATGATTGTGCCACTGCACTCCAGCCTCAGCGACAAAGGGAGACCCTGATTGTCAAAAACAAAACAAAACCCCAAAACAGTTTGGGCTTCATGATTCTGATTAGGATCAAATGAAGGTTCTACCAGGCTTTGTTGTTAGGGTCTGAAGTCAACATGAAAAGAACAGGATGGGAAGGAGCTTGTGGGTGAAACATCATAATTGAAGGTTGGGACAGGCTTATATACCCTGTTGCTAAACCTACTATGTGCTTACCATTTGTGTTAAGTTCAAATGGACTTCCCTCTTATCAGCAAAACATTTCCTTGAGACAAACCCAGTTCTAGCTATACCTGCTGTTCAGGGCTGTGAAGTTGCCCCCAGGAAACAGAATAATAGGTGCCAGGATCATCATCTTCAATATTTTTATTGAAATTATTTAATTTTTACGATTAAAAATTAGTCCAGGCGTGGTGCCTCAAGCCTGTAATCCCAGCACTTTAGGATGCTGAGGTGGGCAAGTCATATGAGACCAGGAGTTCAAGACCAGCCTGGACAACATTGTGAAACCTCGTCTGTACTAAAAAATAAAATACAAAAATTAGCTGGGTGTGGTGGAGGGCACCTGTAATCCCAGCTACTCGGGTGACTTGAGACACGAGAATTGCTTGAACCCAGGAGGCGGAGGTGGCAGTGATCCAAGATTGCACCACTGCACTCCACCCTGGGCAACAGAGGAAGACCCTGTCTCAAAAAAATAAATAAATAAATTAGTCTTTGTTTTACAGATAAGGAACCAGAGACACTTGGAGCTGGTTAGAAGAACCAGGATAGGCATCAGGGGCTTTATGATGCCCCAGCCTGTAATGCCCTCTCTGTGTTGTGCCCTCTCTGCATTGGCTGCCTCCCTGAGCAAGGCCCAGGGATGCTGTCTGTTTAGCACCTAACAGGATGACCAAAACCTTTTACATATGTTGGTTCATTTCATCCTCATAGGGACCAGAAGGAAATTGATTAAGGAAGTTAGTAGGCAGGAAGGTGAGTAGTCAACTCCCGTTTTCTTATTCGAAATCAGCACTCTTGAGGGGACAGGAAAGTTAGGAGGGTGAACTCTAGGGAGCATTAGACTAATGATACACAGGAGCCGAACATGTTTCCTAAGGCATACACCAACATTCTATGACCCATGCTCTCCTAAAGCCTGGCCTACTCTGGGCCGATCCTAATCCTAGTGGTAAACTCCACGGGGACAATAAAATATAAACCTGGCCGGGCACAGTGACTGATGCCTGTAATCTCAGCACTCTGGGAGGCTGCGGCAGGTGGATCACCTGGGGTCAAGAGTTTGAGACCAGCCTGGTCAACATGGTGAAACCCATCTCTACTAAAAATGCAAAAATTAGCCAGGCGTGGTGGTGGCGAGCGCCTGTAGTCCCAGCTACTCGGGAGCCTGAGGCGAGAGAATCACTTGAACCCAGGAGGTGGAGATTGCAGTAAACTGAGACACCATAGCATTCCAGCCTGGGCAACAAGATCGAAACTCCATCTTAGAAAAAAAAAAAAAGTATAATCCTTTCTTTTGCTTTCTAATTCATCCTTTTTGTTTATACCAGTACTCTCAGCAAGAGAAAACTGAATTTGTTCTTAAAGCCAGGTGGTGTCTACAATGGAAATAGATCAGTTCTAGTCTTCAATTTAATTTGCCTCCATACAAAATAGTCTGTAAGTGCCAGTTCATCAGGCCCAGTATATTGTACCTGTTTGTCACTGAAACTACAAATTAACTGGCGGTAAAGGTATTATTTAGATATTAGCTGCTGGGTCATTTTCCCGGTTAGCCTCTGAGCAATGTTTTTCTCTCTGAAAATCATATGAGCAGTTTTACTCCTCATATATTCCACATATATTCTTGCACTTATCACTGCAGGAACATATGCACACCATCAATTTTTTGAAGCCAGTAGGCCTGCATCTCAGGATTTAAGGCCAAAGCTGAAAAAATTGTCCACCAAACCTCACACATTATATATTAAGGAAATTTTAGTGACTAAAACAGGAAAAGTTTGCACAATGCAATTTAACACTTTAAAAACACTGTACCTAAGAAATGTTCCCTGAGTTGGTCTGAGGTGGAATGAACATTTTTCTTGATGTCCATTAGTAAATGGATTAGCGATGCTAACAGGTGCGTCCTCCAGCTTCCTCGAGCCCAGGTCCTGCTGGCAGAGAGGGCAGCACTGGGGCACACTGAAGCTGTAGATGTATTTCTCACAGTGGTTGAATTTAATTAAAGCCTTCCCAGCCTCTGCGCAGTGCATAGCTTTCGCCTCCTGGGATGCCAGGGGAGGTTTCCGGAGACTTCCTTTTCCTCATTATACACCTGGCAAACGCACACCGCCCCAAGGAACCTGATCAGTGGTGATGTCATCCTGACTGATGGCTTCAGAAGCCAAACCAGATAGGATTAACCAGTAGCCAGGCCTCCCCATAGACTGTTTCTTAAAGAGCTAGTTTCTATTTGTTTATTTCCATTGTTTATGGTAACTGATAACTGCCAGCTCCTATTCATCCTTTAAAGCCTCACTTTTCTGTGAAATCTTTCTCAGCTTCCCCTAGTCTTCCCTTGCAGTGGCAGTGCTGGATTCATATTTCTGTCAGAACTCTTATTTATTTATTTACAGACAGGGTCTCACTCTGTCACCCAGGCTGGAGTGCAGTGGCACGATCTTGGCTCACTGCAACCTCCACCTCCAGGTTCAAGTGATTCTCCCCCCTCAGCCTCCCCAAGTAGCTGGGACTACAGACGCACACCACTACACCCAGCTAATTGTTGTGTTTTTTGGTAGAGATGGGGGTTTCACCATGTTGGCCAGGCTGGACTCGAACTCCTGACCTCAAGTGATCCGCCTGCCTCAGCCTCCCAAAGTGCTGGAATTACAGGCATGAGCCACTGCACTCAGCCTAGAACTGTTATTTAATCATTTAGTTTTGTTTCTCCCATTAGTCTGTGAGCTTCTTGGAATTGGAGACTGACCTTTATTTTTGTGTTCCCAGAATTGGTTAAATCATTTGTTGTTGCATAAATAAATCCTTAATTTAAGGCTATTTTATTTTGACATTTT